GTAATAGAATGTTTTTGGTTGTACATGCTTACTCGGATGGGTGTCAATTAGATATGGTAACTTGCTTGTTGAAATTTCATATTGTTATCAAGAAACATGATTCGAATTATCATTTTATTTCATTTGCATGTTCTAGCAATACATGCAATTTTTACAATTTAAACGAGTTATAGTATTTGATATGGGATACACATAAATTCATCAATTAAATTAGTATTCTTATCAATTTTTGTGATAATTGATGAAAAATATATTGATAATTGTATAAAAAAAAGTTATATAAATAACCATTTAATTAATAAACTTAGCGATACTTTTTGACATCCCACTCAAATTACTAAAAAGGATAATCACCAACTCGAACCCATTGATATTAATATATATTGACAATGTCTCACACGTGCACCTTCAAAACCACCCTAAAAACCCTAAAAAAAGAGGCCTAAAATCAACCCCAAAATAGACCTAACACCTACCCAAAAGCCCCCAAACTCGACCATGAAACTGTTACCAACGACCCCGAAAACCCTTACAAAGCAACTCTTTTAGAAAGGCCATTTGAACCACCAAAGAAGCTCCACAAACACCCCCAAACCAGCTTCAAAACCACCCAAAAAAAACCCTAAAAAAACAGGCCTAAAACCAACATCAAAACAGACCCAACACCTACCCAAAAGGCCCTAAACTCGACTCAAACCGTTACCAACGACTCCGAAAACCCTTACAGAGTAACTCCTTTGGAAAAGCCATTTGAACCATCAAAGAAGCTCCACAAACACCCCCAAACCAGCTTCAAAACCACCTAAAAAACCCCAAAAACCCTAAAAAAAATAGGCCCAAAACCAACCCCAAAACAGACCCAACTCCTACCCAAAAGGCCCCAAACTCAACCTCTAAAACTATTATCAACAACCCTTGAAAACCCTTACGAGCAACTCCTTTGGAAAGGCCATTTGAATCACCAAAGAAGCTCCACAAACACCCCCAAACCAACTTCAAAACCACCAAAAAAAACCCTAAAACAATGGGCCTAAAACCAACCCCAAAGCGGACCTAACACCTACCCAAAAGGCCCCAAACTCAGCCTTGAAACCGTTACCAACGACCCCGAAAACCCTTACAGAGCAACTTCTTTGGAAAGGCCATTTGAACCATCAAAGAATCTCCACAAACAAACCTAAACCAGCTTCCAAAAAACCCCAAAAAACCCTAAAAAAAGAGGCCTAAAATCAACCCCAAAACATACCCAACACCTACCCAAAAGGTCCTAAACTCACCACAAACCGTTACCAACAGACCCCGAAAACCCTTATAGAGCAACTCCTTTGGAAAGGCCATTTGAACCACCAAAGAACCTCTAAAAACACCCTCATACCAGATTCAAAACCACCAAAAAAACCCACCGAAATAGACACAAAATATCCCTCAAAACGACCCCTCGAACACTTTTTGAGTTACCGCAAAAGAAGAAATAAAAATTATTTGTGATTCGTCTCATTTTTTGTGATTCAATTGACTTTCCATGATTGTTCGCAATGTTACTATATACTCTTTTTTTTTTAAGTGCTAAATAGTAATTGTTTATTCTAAAAAAAAACGAAAAAAATGATGAGTAAAAGCAACTAATTTATTATATGCATAGATAATAATACATGTTATACATATTTAAATTAATTTTATGTTGATATTTAATCTAAATTGGCTATTGAATTAATTAATTAATAAACGAGTTATTGATTATTCTATGGAGACGATTCATTATCTATCTTATCATTTCGTATATATGCTACATGCTAGATTTTTATTTTTTTATCATTTGTGTTATTTTCATGAAAAAAATATTCATACAAATTTATTATAAGTATTTAAATATAGAAATATAATCACGTGGGTATTATAGTAAATATATAATAATATATTTTCTTTCCTTCCTCTTTTTACAATTATCCAAACAAGAGAAATGTATTTTCTTTCCTTTCCTTTCCACTCTTATCCAAATAACAAGTGAAAAATGATTTTCTTTTCTCTCTCTTTTTTCTCTCACTTTCTTTCTTCTCTTTTCTTTCCTACTAAGAGGAATTATCCAAACAAGGGGTTAGTGTTCATTTTGATTTGATTTGACCATTTATATTAAATACAAACCTTTTTTGAAAAAAAAAAACAAATTTTGATACTTTCACAATGTTAATGGAAAAAACTGAACATAAAGTATTTTTTTTATTTTATAAACAATAAAAATTTAATAAATTACGAACAAGTTGGATGTATCTCAATTTTTTTTTTTTTGAAAATCCAAAAAAAAGCCATACAAATTTACACAAGTAATTTTAATATGGTAATTAAAAATTTTACATGTGATTTTCAAAATTAATTTATTTTAAAATTTATTAATTATTACTTATTCGAACAATACGATCAATCGTACACCATGAAATCATTTTCACGAATGCCCATCTGCAAATCAATCGTACGTCGTTAGCTAAGCTGGTGATCAACGAGGCACATGATTAGAGCTCTTACCTCTCCTCCCACTCACTTTCCTTTCTGTATTAAGGAAAATCCCATTATTTGGATCCATTAGCAATCAGTGTAAGGGTGAGTCTGACACCAGCTGTCCCGCAAATAATATTATTTTTTAAATATATCTCAGTCCAATTGTTTCAGTTACAGGGACGGTCATTTAATCTTGCCTCGAACAGTGAGTGGAGCCAGTTTTTCCTTCCGTCATCAATCCACTGATTTTATTATATAGGGTAAATTACAAAAAAAAGATGTCGTGTAGGTAAAATGCCATAACAGTTTACGCCCCTCACTTTTCATAATTTGCACAATAAATCCTCAATTGACAAAAGTTGAGAGTTCATTTATAATGAGAAGAAAAGGATTGATATTAACTACCAAACTAAAAGAAAACGAATGTTTATTGTAGCTATATTATTTGAAATATTGTGCATATTTTTATATTTCACTATTTACTCTCTCATAATTCACTGTTACTTTCATTATTTATAAATTTTTTTACATTTTGGTTTTCCGATATTGTCGAATGCATATTTTGATTCACATATTCATTTGCTCATCCATTTAGGACCCTAAGTGGAGAGAGAAGGCTAAAAGGATGAGAGAGAGAGATATCGCTGGCCAAGCTCATTTAGGCCACTCGATCGGCGAAAATCCACTAGATTTATTTATCTTTGAGAGATGAGTTTGTCCATGGTAGTTTCAAACCATTAAACAATTAGAAGAGGTAAATTGGAGCCAAAAAAAGAAAAAAAATCTGATTTGATTTTGTATTTTTCTCTCGTTTTTGTATATATTAAAATGATTTTTAAGGTTTTAAATGTGTTTATTGACTTTATTCTAGTCATTTAGAGGTGTTTTGAAAAAAAATGATGCTGGAATTCAATTTCTAAGCGTCCGAAAGTTGACTCTCGATTTTTCGACGAACTTACGACAACTTCAAGTTCGTCGAAAGTTACAGGATTTTTTTCCTGATCTACAAGCAAGGCCTTCCGATCATTTAGAGGTGTTTTGGAAAAGAAATGATGCCGGAATTCAATTTCTAAAGGTCCGAAAGTTGATCATCGATTTTTCGATGAACTTCCAATAACTTTAGGTTCGTCGAAAGTTACAAGATTTTTTTTCCTAGTCTGCAAGCAAAGGCCTAACGCCGGCCTGCAATGGCAAGCACAAGTGCACAGGCCTGCCTGCACAAGTCTCCCTGCTTTTTTTAAAAAAATAATAATGTGCAGCTTGATTGCACAAGCCAACCAGACACTGCTCTCCCCCATATATATATAATAATATTTTTTTGACTTTTTAAATGAGTTTTAAATTTTTTTAACACATACACACATATATATATATATTATTTAATTTTTTTAAATTATTTATTTCTTATTAAAATTCACATCAAATTAATTTTTTTATATGATTTTATTGGTTAATAAATTTAATTTTTTAATATATGAATTTTGAATTAAAATTTTAAAACGTCGGCGTTTTATTTTTTAAAATATAATGTGTATTAGGTGTGTCTTTTTTCTTTATATATATATTTTCTAAAAAAAAATTATTTTTAATTGTATTGTGATTTAATCCATTTGTTTTAATTTTTTTTATTATTGAAAATCGATAACTTTAATTTGCTATTTTTTCAAATTCTCATCTAATTAATTTAAAATTATATACCCTTAATTTTTTTTATACAATATATTTTTTTAAAATTTCAAACTTTAACTATATTATAATTTGATCCCATTTTGTTTTAATATTTTTTATTGATTATTTTTATTATTTAAAATTTACTATTTTAATTTATCATTTTTAAAAAATTCTCATCCATTGATTTTTAAATTACGTTAAAATATTTAAAATATTTTTTTCGTCTTCGATTTCATATATTTTTATACATTTATCATAAAAAGACTATCAAATTAAAATAATTTTTTTAAATAATTTTATATTTTTTATTTTATCCTCAACGTTACGAGCACAAAAATCTCATATCCATCTAATAAATGTGACTTATCTCCTATGCAATGGCATAACTACAGGAGATACAAAAGAATTTATGATATTTAATGAATAATTAATAATAATTATTTCATATAAAAAATAGATATAAAGGGAAAAATAAGAGAATTTTTTTTTAAAAAAAAGTTGTTTTAAGTAGAAATATTTTTAATGATATTAGTGATTTTTTGGATGTTATTGCAATCATTATATGTTAAATGGCTGGCATGATTTTTCCATAATTTTTTTGGATGGTGTTGCCACGAGAGTACCTATTTCTATACAAATACAAACATGTATACAAAACTGAATTGCCGGAAAAAAAAAAAAGGAAAAAAAGTTGGCTGCAACAATAGAGTGGCAGACCATGGCCACAACCCGTTCCTGAGTCCTCCTTTTCCTTTCCCGACGCAGATAGATATGAACAAATCTTGTATGCAATATAATCATAAGGTTATGGAAGACAGACCTTTAACGCTTTCATCTTAATCATCATCCTCGAGATCAACGACCATTCTCAACTTCCTTCTACGTGTGGGACTTGTCACTACTGCATCCGAAGCTGCAGTAGCATCCTCCAAGTCTGCCAATGCATCATCCATTTGTTGATCTGGTAGGTCATCTTCATTATTGACTGGTGCAACACCTTTTGATTTTCTGCTTATGCTGTCAGTTGCTTCAGCTTCTGAAGCACCTTCCTTGCTGACATGGTCAAGAACAATATCCTCCTCAATCCCTTCAGCATCCTGCCCAGTGGACTCGCTGCCTCCGTCCCTGGATTAAAATAACAGCAACTTCATATACAATTTACTGGCAACTAACAGTTGATCTCTCAACAACGGATGCTTAGCTGAAGCAATACCGTTCTCAAAACTGTTATTTTTACTGTACATTGCTCGTTAGAAAAGGCAAGTTTTAAGACTGATTCAAGTAAACACATACCTTTGTTCTAGATCATTAAGATCTTCATCCCCAGAGTCTTCATCAGCCATTTTACTCTCAGTGGACAATGTTCTGAGCTCTTCACCTTTCACCTTTGAAAGGAGCTTCTTGGTTTTACTGAATTAAAAAGGATAAAGCAAGTAAAATATAGCATACCAGAAAACACATAATAAGAGACAAAAGCGTGCCACTTGTGGTGTTTTCAACAGAGCTAGACAGCAATATTTTAGAAAAATCATAGGATATTGCTACATAAGAACCTCATCTAAACACTAAGTAGCAGCATCCTGATTGTCCTTCCATGGAGAGAGATGGAGAGAGACTCACTTGATTTTAGAGCTTAAGGGTTCTTTATCAGAATCATCAGAAAACTCTACTTCGTTATTCCGTTCCTCAGCAAACAATCTACCACTGGCATTGCTTTGAGGCCTAAGGAAAAAAAAAGTAGTTTACGAGTCAAGTGAATGAGTAGTTTTTTATTTATAAATAAAAAACAAGCCCAATAGAACTTCATATAAGTAGAAAATCTAGTGAATATTTGGCAAGAAAGTTCAAATGCAGCTAACCTCAAAAAAACTTTCAAAGAACTTTGCAGCAGATAATCTTGCATTTGTTTTTTTGAAATTTCAATCCAAGTGATTTTAATAAAATTATTCCTTTGTTCTTATGAATTTCACTGAAAAGATTGTCAGTTGAAGACTATTCTAAGAGCATCTCTCACTAAAAGCAAAGAACTGTTTAGCAGAAGGAAGTTCTAACAGGCAGCTGAAAACACGTCAGCAAATAGAACTTTATAATAGGACTAGACCATTGATAGCGACAAACAAAAATAACAACTATACTAAAGAGAACATAAACCGCAAGTAACAACACTCAGTAAAGTGATAATCATAAGCAATATGTCATGTTCAAAAATATAACTCATTCTGCCTTTTTCTGCTCACAGGAAGAGAGAGAGAGAGAGAGAGAGAGATACTTGAGAAAAGTGCATAGGAGTTCATCATCAGAATCACTAGATGATTTTCCTTCAAAATTCTGGCCTGGCAACTCATCACCAAATAATCTTCCATTGTCCTTGTTTTTACTGCTACAAGTTAAAAATAAATAAATTTTAAGCATCAGCAGCTTTGTGTTACAAGTGAATCTACCAACATTTGGCAAGAAATTTTACAAACAGCTTAGAAAAGCTTTGAGAATTGCAGTTGCATATCTTAAAGATTTCTTTTTTATCCTTTCTCACATTGCAAAACGATGTGCTCACAAACAATATACCAATTCAAAGGTTCCTAAACAGGTGAGCAATGCATAAAAGGATAAAATCACAAACTAGCCCCATGTAATACCAACGAATTAATCACAACAAGAAACTAAATATGGACTTAGATGAATTGGTGGTATCTGAAGTAATCAGAGAGCATTAATTCTCTGATTAAACATGGACATATAATTAAGCAAAACATATGCTCAAATCAATGGGGAAAAGGAAAGAACCATGTGGCCTTTAACACAATATACAGTGCTACTCTTGTTGGACAAACCTCAAATCAGTTTAGTGGGAAAAAAAGCATCAGACCATAATAGGTTTTATGTAGCATTAAACTGAAATTCCACACTAGCAGCATTTCTCAAGACTCCAACCTTTTTAATGCGCAGCCAAAAGCTAGAGTAGAACTAATGCTAAGAATGGAGTATGGTTTGCACAAGTCACAAAAATAATATTAAAAACAACTCCCACAGCCAAGAGCACAAAAGCAGAAGTACCTATTTTTTAATAACAGTGTTTCATCATCAGAATCTTGTTCTACAACAGAAAAATCATTCAGTTCCTCATCTCTGAGATGCATATCTATCTCAGACTGCTTCTGCCGAGTAGCACGTAAACCAAGTTGCTTGAGTTTTCTGGAAACTTGGGCAGCTGTGAATGAATTATCGGATGCCAATGCATTTGCAATCATATAGCTGCATCTTCGATGGTGTTTGAACCTGTCGAAAGTAAATAAATCCTCAAGTTAAATATATCATTCCATAAACAAAGATATTGCTACTTCAATCAAAGCTTTTTTAAGTTAGAATGTGAAGAAAATAAATACTAAAGTACAGAGCATTAATTATTTCTTAACGCTACTAGGCATCTAATAATTAACCATGAACACAGGTTAATGAACCGTATTAAATCTTTAGGTTACAACAACAAACAACACTCACTGCTCAAATAACGCTTTAATCATTTCCTCCTGATCTTTGTTAAAGGCATGTACTCTTTTCCTAGCGCTCCTGTGGAAAGGTGATGCATCAGCTCATCAACTTGGACAAAACAAGGAGATCATTTTGCATGCATTTCAATCATGTTCTGGGATATGATTTAGACTAGAATCAAGCCTTGAAAGCTTAGAGCTTCAGCTTTAAACACAAATACTGAACATTGCAGTAAAAGAGTTCGACCCATGAATATTAAAGATTTAATGTAAACAATGGCATCCAAAAGTATTTCATAAATACTTACAGCCTTGGCAAACTTCCCTCTAAATCAATTGAATTGCGAAGATTGCTTTCTTTTTCAATTTTCTCTCCATTCTCACCAAGTTGATCAGGATTAGTAGAAAATGGACTATCAACAGGGCGTTTCCTTTTCCTCGATGCAACTTTCAGTCCTAGCTGCTTGAGCTTGTTGATAACTTGTGCTGGTGAAACTTCACCATCAGGATCTAGGGATTCCGCAATCAGACGACTGCAATTTTCATCGTCTTTGAATCTACAAGAACCATGTTTGGCATCACAGATGCAGCGAAAAAAATTTAAGAAACTCCAATGAAAGAATGAGTTTGTCAAATAAGCTATCATTCAATTTTCATGGAGAAACCAAAAAAGCATACAATCAGTTCATCATAATAAAAGATTAAAAGCAAAAGACAATTGTACTTCTTTAATGCATTCAGCCAAGGCTGTCATTTAGTCTACTGAGAAAATGCTTGCAGTCCTAAAACAGCTGTGCCAAGGCACTTACTTCTCATACAGATCTTTTAGTTTCATCTCCAACTCATCTGTCAAAACAAATCTTCTCTTTCTTCTAGGAACGCTTACACTTTCATGTTCTGCAGTATCTCCTCCACTGCAATAGCCAAATACATTAAATAAGGTAGGGGAAAACTAAGAACCTTACATACAAAATATCATTACTTAGAAGTTGTCAAATATTATACTATTCACTATTTTCTATCCTAGCAACATTGCTGCTTGAAAGATGCAATATATCTCTGCACTTCAGTTTTCACTGATTCTTCTTTATTTTTTTTAATCTTGCATTCTCGCAACAAATGGTGATATAAGCCATTCTGATGAAAATGAGACATGATAGCAACCCTTGCCACCAAGAAAATTTTAATTATATAGGAAAAAAATGATATTTTCCAACAGGCCAGACTACTCCCAGATAACCAAAGAAATTTAAATCATGTTGCTAAAGCACCCATGTAAAATTTCCAAATTCCGTATAGACGAAAAGTACAATTTATGCAACAGTGAGTCAATTAAGGTCAACAAACATGTCTTACTTCTGATATCTCGGTTCACAAGTGATCACAGCATCTGCTTCATCCTCACCCAGTGCATCTGCTATGCTTCTAGAAGCCCATCTCTTCCCCTCTGATGACCCAATATCTTCGCTTGGTGAAACATTTCCCCAGCCTGCACTTTCTTTCTTCAAATGACCAAGCTCATGCAACATATATTCAGCATTTATGTAATGGCATTCTCTCCGGGATTTCCAAAAGAGAACTTCCACAAAAAGAAGGGGCTGATTCTTCATTTTCCTTAGCATTCTTCTGACCAAACTTGTAAGAAAATCAACAATATTTACATATTCCTTGCATGGACATGACTTTTGCTCTTCCAGAATGTCATAGAATGTTGTGAGGAGTGATAACTGCACATTTTTTTCCCAAAAATAGTACAGAAATAAGATATAATGATCACACTTCTGTCTAATATTCTCAAGGATGGAATTTTGAGTTTTGAACCTGATATAGCATTGGAGAGAGATCCAAGTCGTCAGTGATTCTCTGCAACATGCGTATTATGTAGTGATTTGTGCTGATGGAATTGTTCTTATAGAACCTAAGCAACCAGCACAAATTCTGAATAATGTTGTGGTTTGCTAAAGATGATATAAAAGTAGAGACTTTAAAATCAACTTCATGATTTTCAGCAGGCTGCTCATCGCCTGAAGAATCATCAGAGCTGCAAGAAAGATCATCAATATCATTCTTTTTATTATCCATCTGCAAATTGCTACCGATATTCTCCATCTCTGGTGCAGATATCTCAGGTTTTTCAACAGGAACAGCAATATTCATGTTTTCTTGATCATCAGAAGTTGCATTTTCCAGGCTTTTCTTTTGCAAATCAGTTGGTTGTTCACTGTTAGACAGAGCAGTGTGATCCTCAGTAGTGCCTTCAACTTTGCACTCTCCATTTCCATTTTCCTTCTTGTCATTCTGTGCTTTCTTCTTTCTACTTCTCCTAGACTTCTTTGAAACCTTGATCATGAAACAACAGTTTTAATTTGATCTTCACAGAAGAAAAAACTTTTCTAATACAGAAGACTACAACATTTGTGATTTATAACAACAAAAATATGAAACTATGGATGCTAAAAAGCATTTTAAAGAAGCAGAAATTCTATAACAATTGAGGAAATGTAGATGAACAGCAATTGCTTTTACTTTTCCTCTCTTCCCCTTCTTCTCTTGGCAAGTAGTTGGAGGCCTTGAGTTTTTATGTTTGACAAACACAAAGTTCCATAATTGGCTCAACATTGGTTGTGGAAAAAGCTGGTAGGAATTATACTTATTTGCACGCAATATGACAACCCATAAAAAAGTGAACATCATTGCCTTCTTAGCAAAATCAATGAATTTTACAGCCTAAAACTCCCATTGCTGCTCGAATCCTATTGGTGTTGTATAATGCTATGGAGTTGGATGCAGTTTAGAGAGCGAAGAGAGATTGGGAGAGACCAGTTAAAGGATAAAGAAAGAAAGTGAAGGGAGGGAGAAGATGGGAAACAATCTGAAATTACAAATTTAAGGACATACAATTTTATCAGTTAAAATCAGTTAAAAGGGAAATTTAACAATATTTTTGCACTTGACCTGCTGCTTTCAGAGTGCACACATAGCAGCTGAGATATACCTACATTTGTCGACATATGCAATGGACAGATGCTTGTTATTTGTAATTTGTAATTTGTACAACCTTTTGTCCAGCGATAAATAATCAAAGACAGTGAAATGGTTCTATTCTATGGAGACAACTTTTCAAGCAAGAGGAAAAACTAGATAGAAAAGAAATGTAGAAATTGCTACAGCAGAACCTATATCTTCTGTACGTCAATATTACCTGATATTGCACCAAAGATACAAGACCACAAAGCTGATCTCATGACAGGCTCACAAAAAAAAATGACGTATAGAGGGTTTTGAGGAAACTAATTTCAAAAGTTTCCACTAACTATCAGATGTGAATCGTGGAAATTATAGAAAGTCTTACAGAAACAAGATAAAATTATTATGTGATTGGCGGAATGTGGCAAAATTTCAAGTTAAACTATATCTGCATTAAATTTACCCTTTTTTCTTTTCAAAATTTATTTTCGCAAATCACCGACTTCTTTTCAGCATGGTATAATGGCTAACTTAGTCAAGCTCATATATTACAGGAACTATCTTCCGAACAAAGCCCCAATTCTAATCTTTCAAATCTGCTTAATGCATTGCATTGATAAATTCAAAGGAACAGAAAAACAAATGACCAAAAATAATTTCCTACAGAACTACCCTGTAAAGAAAAGCATAACTTACTCTTAAGGTGCCACGTGCTTGAAGATTCTCCATCAGCCTTACAATTACATGAATCATTTCTACCAGATCTGCAAGATCACTGACCAGAACAATAAATACATAGCATCAGCAGCAACATCTTGACCATGCTCAAAGAAGCACATTTATCTTCATGTGCATAGCCTTAGTACATATTTTTTACCAGAAACAAATATATACATAAAATAGGCATACAATTAAGGGGAATGTTTATTGTTGCTTTGAAATAATCAGATGAAGATCACTAACAGAAACTAGGAAACACAAATTGAGGGCATTGAGTTTAATTTAATATCAAGCTTGATTTGAATGAAGAGCAGCAAAAATAATACAAGAAATGACAATATTGAAAAGGCCTTCTTTGCAGTTTTGGTGAAAAAATTATTCAAAGAACACTAGACCTTGCAAAAAGAAGAGGACAACTCATGAAACTAATCACATAATAGGGCAATAACTGCTAGAAGATCGATTATTAGAAGCTGAACCCAAATCCAGTGGAAACACATGGATAGTAACTAGTAAGTGAGGCTCTCAAATCACTCAGAATTTGTAGATTAGTCAAGAAGTTGCCTATAGTTCTATGTTGCCGAGTTCCACAATCAGGACATAATTACGTTAAAAGAACCAAAAGATAAACCAGACTTATTTTAGGTCTTAGATATAAGGGGAAAACCTTTTGGTTTGTTTGTGTGTGTCAAATGATTTGATCAGGCCCAGGAGGAACTGAATCATTCCTTGATCAGTCTGGTCATAGAACAACTTGTAAAGCAGGATGCGAGCAGTTTGAGGCTCCTTGGAATCTCCTGGCAATAACTTAAGCACCAAATCTAGCATGCGAATCTGTGTTGAAGCAGAAGCCATAACTTAAGCACCTATTAACGTGCAAATTGTATACGTGTGTGTGTGTGTGTGCATTTCGTTTTTTTGTTTTTTTTTTTTGGGGGGGAGGGGGGAGAGAGAGAGATGGGGTGATGATGGTATGAGGAGGGGAAAGGGGAGACATCATTGCATTAGGTATGATTTACCATAATTCTCATAAGAGCACCAGCTGCGGACAGAAACTTATAATCATGTGTCACCTTCAGGCCTTCAAAAGCATTTTGCCATCTTGAAATGACCAGTAGAAACATTGATTCATTCATTGATGCTGCAATTGGTCCACATATATATCCTTTGAATGATGTGCTATCAGCATACTCATCAGTGAAGGCTTGAGAATTGTCCTTTTCCTTATTTGGCTGGTGACAAATATCCCCAAACAGTTGAATAGCATGATGTACCAGAAGAAAATATTGCAACAACTTGAAATATAACTTGAACAAAAAATATGAGAATCTGGTGACAGAAAATAAACAGTGCCCAGAAAACACCATGGCAGGGGTTCATTCATATATTCAAACACCAAAATTGTAACTTCACTCGAAAAGTTTCACTCCTATCAACCTTCTTACATAGCCACAAGTCACTCCTATAACACCATTTTCAACAACTTAAAAGCGAAGAATATTTCTTTGAATATAATTTTTCAAATCGAACAATTGCATCAATGTCTCCTTCAAAATTCAACAGCATCAATTTCACCTTCAAAATTCAACAGCACACATATCAACTTACTGAAAATATTTCTAATCGTACTTACAAAACCAGATTGGCAATTGGATTTGTATACTATTATTATGAGGTTTCCAAACCATAACATTAGTATTGCTAAGGTTTGGAGAGAAGAAGATACTGATGCTCCATCCAATTCTTTCTCTGAACCATTTATTAAAGAATCCATCCACTTTAGCTTATTTTATTGCTCTTGGATTGCAACAATCAAGAGCTATTTTACTGTCACTGAATGTTATACAGAAATGCATTCATAAGCCAAAGTTATTAGCAACGACAAAATCAAGTACTGCAGAGTACAAATCATTGACTAATCATTGGCCATCAACCAAGTTTATACATAAGCTCCGGGAATTATATGTGGAGCACAAAGGAGAGAGCAGAGCATGACAACCCAGAATTCTAAGCCCACCACAAGTTCCGCTCACTCTATCACAAGTAATTTGCTTACCTTGTACAAGCTCTAACATATCTTTAAACGAACCTAAAATTTCTCATGGTACTCCAACTAACAGTTGGGTGGTCTGTTTAGGCTAACTTAGAGATTCAGTTATGGAACGTTTTGCCATTCCAAAAGGTCAAATTGAAGCCAAATGACAGAAAACTAACTTGAAACAATCAGAGAATATAGAATGTCCATCAAAGAAACAATTAAAGGTACAAGTAACTCGTATCTCACCTTGGAAGTAAAATACTTGTAATATTGAAAAGAAGTAACAAACTGAGCAACCTGAAAGAAAACAACAACGTCGCTGTTTTGAATAGCATGATGCTCCTTCTCAATATCTTCACGGATCGACTCCATCAAATCTGATATGAATTCGGTTCATGATAAACATTAGCAGTAAAATCAGTAAAAAGCAGAAGAAGAAGCCAAATGTTTGATGTAAGATATTTTAATTCCAGAAGATATACCATTGTAACCTCCTAATAGAAACTGGTTCAGAAAATCATGCAGTAGCTCCAAAATATTATCCTTCATTGAAGGTAAACTCCCATGGTCCCACAAAATCTTTTTACTGGGACCCTTTTGAGCTTTATGAGGTTTGAGTAGAATCTGAGAGGCAGAATCAGGGTTTCCTTTGTATACTGCTTTAGAACCATCCTGGCAAAGAAAACAAAAACACTTACGCCACTAAAGTTATATAAAAACTCCTCAAAAACATCATTTATAATGAAACTTCATACCATGGTAAGCCGTGTAAAGGTTCCACTAAATTGTGAATGACGGACCACATTTCGTTGTCTGGAAAGCTTCATTTTTTTTTGTTGTTCTTCTTTCATAATGGACTTGAGGCTGTCAAGAGAAGTATTGCTGCTTCCACCAACCTACCAAATTAAACTTGTCACATCAATTTCTACACGCACATTATGCAACAACTGAATAACTGAAACAAGGATAAAATCAGTATAAGGATACTTTGCTGATAAACAACAAAAAGCCAAAAGATAATAAATTAAAAAAGTGCTCGCCGATTCAATCTACAGAGAATGACATAACTGGGAAAAGAAAAGGATGGGAAACCAAAAGGCTTTTTTGCTTTGTCAGAAGTTCAGCAATTCAAGATCCAAAATGCAAGACATAATAGGCTTTGCTCAACCAAATCTCAGCTTTACTTGTTGACAAAACAAAGGATTTTCTAGTTGCCACAAAAAAATACCAATGAAGGAGAAGAAAAGAATGCTCGCCAACCTTGGAATCCTTTACACGGGCATTAACAATCAACTCTGGCTCTTGACCCATGAAAATGCAATGGAAAATTTCTAATAAAAGCAAGTTGTCGTGAAGAAAATAACTGCATGAGCCCTTTATATTCTGAGTTATAACTAGAATAATGTCCATTACATTCTCATGGAACAAAAGTTCCAAAAACTTGTCTCTTAGCGACAAAAACTGACTTGCCGATTCCCCAACTTTCTGCAACATCGAAAAATCTTGAATTGCTAGAATATTTCTAAACAACGTCAGCACCAACTGAACCAATTTCCAGTCATCCTCAGTAAAAGCCCCACTGCATCGCACCAAATCAATATTAATAACAAGACCAAAGCATTTCTCTAAATGAGCAGTGAAAATGGAACATTTTTACCGGTCCAAATTCTCCAGTGGGCCTTCAAGAAGCGAAACAACCACCGGAATCGTATCACTACAAGTAATTGCAGCCTTCAAACCCCATAAATACTCTACTTGTTGCGGGATACTACCCGAAGATGGCTCGATTGACATCGTAAGAAACACTAGAACCTTAACTAACATATTTTCGAATAAAAAATCAAAATAATGAAAACACAAATCGGTATCAAATATTTCCTTATAAATAATTAAAATTAACCTGCATTTAAGACCAAGTTACGATCATCTTGACAGTACTGAATAATCGGAATCAAATCTTTAGCCACAGTATTCCATTTACACACTTGCTTAAATACTCCTCGTGTTTGCGGATCGTCGCGCCTCAAAAATCTCAACAAATCCTTTAAGTTCTCTACAATAACCAAAAAAAGAACAGAAAACTTCAATCAAAACCATAGAGCTAAAGATGTTATCATTTCAAAAAAATATATATATGTTATTGATAAACGCACCAGAACAGTTATCGCCCTTAGTATAACCAATTCGATTTCCGCTGTCGTCTTCTTCAGGGATGCCTAGACCAACGCAGATACCAGCTAAACCTTGCATTTCCATTTTTTTTTTTAGTGTTTTGTATTGGAGTTTGTTTTAGGGTTTTCTTGTGAGAAATTTGAAGAAATTATAGCCTGATTGAAATTGGATCTAATGATAAGTTGTGACTGTGAGAGAAATGGCAGAAGGAGATTGGAGATGTCTATTTAGGGTTTTATTGTGGCGCGAATTTGGAAGAGAATTTTCCCGCGCTTTTGAGTATGAGAGTATTTTTTTATTTTTGAGGAGGAGAGAGGATTCGCTGTTTGTAGATATACATACAAGGATATAAAATATAGCATATTATGTGGCAGGATGTGATTGATTCGATATTCTTGTCGGAGCTTACGGATGCTAAAACAAGTTTCTGTACATTTTAGGCTGTAAAAAGCCCATTATTTTTCATGTGACCTAATGACATATCTCGGGTCCGTAACCGAAACGTAATTAGCTAGGCTAATTACGTGATATTTTTTACGAAAAGTGAATTTATTTAATATTAAATATCAAATTCAAAAAAACATTTGGCATTAAAAAATATTAGTTAAGAAAATTTATTTTTATTTTTATTTCTTTTTTCTTAAATCTTAAATATTTTGGGCATTCAACCATTTAGTCATTCTCCCAAAGTACTCAAATATCACAATTATAATAAGACTAAATAGATCAAATCTCTTTAGAACTTTGATCCATTTGAAATTCAATTTTTAAAATTTTAATTTTGGATTGATCTCTTTTAAATTTTATTTTTTAAAAAAATAATTCATAATGTGATTTTTGGCTATCATTTTTTTTAAAATAATTATTGATATTTTCAATTGAAATTTTACGCACGCACACTTGAAAGAATACATTTTATTTTTTGAATAAAATCCAGAATGTTTTAAGATTGGGGATTAAATTTTTTATTTTTTGAATATTAAAAATGTAGAATAATAAAAAATAAAAAAATACTCAAAATGATTCCGGTATTTTTGTAAAGTTTCGGATAAATTTTATTAAATGATTTCTATAAAGGGCTTTTATGTGAATTTTATTTTTTACATAAGACTAAAAATAGATTTCATTTTAAAAAAAAAATCAAAGAATGTTAAATCTGAAATTATAAGTAAAGAAACTAATTTTTAAATGAACTAAAATTCATGTAAGATTTAAGCTATTTGGCCTTATAACAATAACTAAAAAAAGGGATAGGAGAAAAGTTTTACTGTGCACGGGTGATATGTTAATATTGGTTTTTTGGATATATATATGTATATATATGTATGTATGTATGTATGTATTTATGTATGTATATTACTTTTAAGGGACTGTTTGATATATGTTGGGCCTATTTTGCCGTATGTTTAGTCATCAATTTCAGCTTTGTCATTCCTATGTTGCGGTATTACTCTTCTGCCCTTATTTGACGTTCTGGTTTTAGTTTATCATTTATATCAATTTTAAAATATTGAAAGAGTCTACTTTAAGGAGGGAAAAATCACATTTGTATTTATTAAAAATGATGAGATATTTTTATCTAAATTCATTTTGTAATTCTCTCTCTTATAGGGTAAATATTTTTAATTATTTTTTAATAATATAAAATTTACTAATCTTTTCTTTATCTTTTCTCTCTCTGATCTCACCCTTCACTCCTTTTTTTCAACCTTTCTAATTTTTTAAAATGAATAAAATATTTTTTCTTTTTTATTAATTAGTCTCTTCACTAATATGGATGATAATTAATTAAAATTACTTTGTTCTAAAACTATCTTCTTTTTCCATAGGTCATTCCATATTTTTTTGCTTTTTTTCTTTTTTTTTTTTAAACAAAAACACAAAATAAATTGAAGAAAAATGAAAAGAATTGAGTTACAACTAGATTTAAAAATATAGAGAATAATTAATTAGTTTTAAAAACTAAAGAAACTATTTAATTAATTTTTTTAAAACTAGAGGGGCTAATTACTTAGATATATCTTTTCAAAATTTTCTTTTTGATTCTTTTTTATTTTCCAAATATAAATACCTGAAAAAGGCTATATAAATACTCAAAATTTATATAAATACCAAATCTAAAAATAAAAAAAAGGCGTTTCAATACCAAATTTATAAAAGGGGGCTATGTTTTGGATATTTATATAGCCCTTTTTAAATTTATTTATTTATTTTTCAAAATTTATTTATTTAAATTTGATATTTATACATGTCTTAATTCTATAGCGCCAATAGTGAGATTTAGCACTGTTAGTTGAAACGTTAAAACACACACACACAATTAAGACAAAAATTAAATATAAAAAAATGAATTAAGAAAAAAATATATAAAAACGTAATCAAGAATAAAGAACCGATGCTACCATTAAATCTATTTTATTTCTCCTGCCGGGGTTGGTTGGCCATGGTTGCACCAACCTTAAAAAGCAAAAGTTTTCTCTCGGTGTAAGTCAGAGTGTTTGGCTGTTATTTTTAACTTATGCTTATTTCTTTTCAAATGACATATAAAGGAAATCAACAATTCGAACCCGAGTTTTAAGGTAGTTAGCAAGCTAGGATCAACAACCAAGTCTGCAGCTTTAGTTGGATTTTGTTGGAACATAGGAAGTAGTTGGTCAGAAGGTATTGCCTGCGAGTACATTATAAATTGTTCTCTCTAGTTTCAATAATTAGTCATTTTTTCAGAGAGAGATGTTTTTATACCCAACCTTTGATTTTTATTTTTATTTTTTTCTCTTTTGGTGCTCAACTATTGATTTTTAATGATTTACTATTCAATTTTTTTTTTTTTTTGATATCCGACTTCACTTGAAGTTCAATTTTTGCTAATATATATAACAAAAGCCACCACGTGACAATGAACTCGAAACACATCAGCACCTCATGATCTAAAATGACCGTGGGCATTCAAATAGAAAAACATACCAAAAGTTAGACGTTGAAATAAACAAAATAAGGATTTGACACCTAAAAAAAAAAACCAATTATTGGACACCGAAAAGGTAGTTTTCTCGAAAGAATTATTTTAACTTTCTCGCATCAAATGTCTATATTATTCTTGTACTTTGATCCATCATTTTTTTGTTATAAATAGATTTTATGCATATCTTATACTTCTATTATCTTCATATATACATGTGTGTGTGTGTGTGTGTGATCTCAAAACTTTTTTTTTTAAATATTGAAAGTCATACTTTTAAATTTCAATAACATAAGCAATTACATGCATGCATGTATTTTTAATTGTTATGCTAATTGCACAAGCAATTTTAATAAGACATTCACTTCTTAGCTTAAATTCATACTTTATTTATTGTCTCTATCATTATCGTCACCGTTACCAAAAGTATTGCACTTAAAACTTTCAAATCAAAAAGCTTTCTCACTAAAATTATTCATCTCGATTTTATTCTATCTCAACATATTATAAAAAGTTTAGCAAATTATTAGTTATAAAAAATTCGTCACCCATTTTATGTTGGTTGATCTTCTCCCTAGACAAAAGAAGCAATTTTTTTATATAAATTTCTCTATTAACCAACCATTTATTCTATCAATGACAATCATAATTGGATCTTATATATCTTTTGTTTTTTATGGATTTACTCTTAATTGGACTTTACTAGTTTTTTTTGCCTACGCTGTGCTGTGAGTTAGATAAAATATATAAAATCATTTATAAAAATATATGAAATCAAAGGTAAGAAAAAAATATTTATATTTTAAAAAAATTATATTTAACTATTTTTTTATTTGTGTTTTTCATATTTTTCTTTTATAAAATGAGATTTATTGTTGTTAATCCATGGATTATTAACTAAATAAAATTAAATACAAATTTTTTAAAAAGTTTTATTAGTTCATAATATTGTGTTGAAAAACATAAATAACAACAATTAAAAGCTTATATAGAATTGAACAATTTTTTCTTTTTTTACTTAATGTTGATGAGAATATCGGTTTTTGAAAAAATATGAATTTAATTTTTATATATTTATCTACAAAAGAATGAATAATATTAAAATAAAAAATTATATTAATTTGAATCATTGAGTGGTTAAGCGAAAATATTATTTTAATAATTTAATTAAAAAATAAATAAATAAACAAGTAAATACTTAGTATAGAAAAATAACATTATTATAATATGATCATAATATTAATAACATATGACTATATTAAAAAAATAACAAATTAAAGTAGTAAATTTTAAATAATTAAAATAATTAAAAGAAAACACTAAAACAAAATGAGACCAAATCACAATACAATAAAAGTTTTAAAATTTTAATAACAATTATTAAAAGCTTACATAGAATTGAACAAATATATTTTTTTTATTTAATGTTGATGAGAATATCGATTTTTGAAAAAATATGAATTTAATTTTTATATATTTATTTACAAAATAATGAATAATATTAACATAAAAAACTCGTATTAATTTGAATAATTGAGTGGTTAAGCCAAAACATTATTTTAATTATTTAATTCAAAAATAAATAAATAATTAAAGTAGTAAAATTTAAATGATAAAAATAGTTAAAACAAAATAATAAAACAAAACTGGATTAAATCATAATACAATTAAAGTTTGAAATTGAAAAAAAATAAGTATAGAAAAATTGAGAACCAAAGTGCTAAAAAAGGCATGACCAAGTGAAATGAATAATGATTTGTGAGTGTGTGAATAGTATTTCAAATAGCGAGCATGAATAGTAAAACCATGTCTTACTTTAGTTTTTTTAGTAATATATATTTGGCTATATGACATAATATTAAATTTGTTTAGGTAGATAAAGGGTTTAGAATTTTTTAAAAAATAAATTTTAACTTATATAAAGTATTAAAAAATTATATTTGATAAGTAAAAAAAAAAACCACGAGCATGATATGAAATATATTTATTGAAAATTGTTGGACTTATCTTGTAATCTTGAGACAATAAATTTCTTGAAAAAACAGTTTTTTTTTTGCCCAACCTTTAATTTTATTTTTTTTATTTCAATGCCTAACTTTTGAATTTTTTTTTATTTGACTCGCTCACGACTACTATAGAATATGAGATTCTAACGTATCTAGAGTTGATTGTTACATGGCATGTTTCGACCGGCATGTGGCAACTCTCGCCATACACGTCTATCGAATTGAATTTCATATGAAGTCGGGCATCAAAACAAATAAAAAATCAAAATTTAGGTAGCAAATCATCGAAATCATCGAAATCAACGATTAGGCACCGCAATAGAAAAAAATTAAAAGTTAGGCACCAAAAAAGTCTTTCTCTCTTTTTGTTTAAAAAACTAATTATTTAATTCATTAATTAGTGTTGATTGTATTTAATTTAATATCATTTTATTCTAAAACATTTATTCTTCTTTCATCATTATTTTCATAACATTTTTTTCTATTTTTTTCAAATGAAAAAAATAAAAACACATAATATGGGGAAAAAGATTAAACAATTAGTTTTTAAAAGATGAATATGAATTCATTTCTCAAAACTTAGAAATCATACTAGCGTATAACTATTTTTTTATCTTTATCAATTATTATATCCATTAAATATTTTTAATGAGTATTTATTAAATCAGATAGAGTGAATATTCACTTTATATCCAGCTTATTCTCGTATCTATATCCATCGATGACTACTCTTATCTCAATTTGTTTTCAAATTACTGTTCTGATACATTTGATCTTGTAAGAAATAATGATTTTGTTTTCTCTCTTCCTTGTTGATATATTGTTACCCAATTTATTAAGCTGGACATCTATGGTCCATGACTGAAATTTTGAGATGTAAGTTCCACGTGGTATTCTGCTTGAGAAACAGACTCACACAAATATCAATGTATGTTGTTTATTGTTTATTTATTTATTATTTTTTTAAGAAGACCTACAACTACAGGCATGGTGCATCATGCATTAGTCACACTCAAACACGTATTTGAATAATCGGAAATTGGCTGATATATTTCGGTTTTCCACGAATTGGTTGTGGTGGATTATTTAGCAAATTCAACAAGTAATCTCCCCGCACTGATTATGAATATATGGAAAGCTACCTTTGCATTAGAAAATCCAGAGATTTTTTTTTACCTTTCCAAGACATTTTACATACGATGGACCATTAATAAGCTTAAAACTCATTGGCATTTATTAACAAATATTATCACTGTTATTATTGTTTTGTCAAAAATATTTTTTATTTTGATATTGTTTATTAAATCATGTAATGCCATAAAAAGCACCATGTTAATCAAGAAGTATTAACATTATCGTGAATGGAACTTCTTGTGCATATAACATTGACATATATATAATCTAGTTGCGATCATATATCGAAAACCCTCACATTTGGCCATCGATTCAAATATTTATGATGATCATGAGCGCAACAATCCAGCATTTGATCTTATTTTATTGTTAGATAAGTGAAAAAACCTTCATTTTCACCATCAAATTAATTCCTTAAAAAACCAAACAAATATCAAAATCAACAAACAAACTAACCAAGCAAAGCAAAACTACACAGCGATATGAAGAAGTTTTTTTTTTTTTTTTTTTTTTTTTTTTTAAAAAAAAACAACTACGAAAAAGTGAGTCGAGGATGAGGGAAGAGAGGCTACTAGAACCAAAAGAAAACTTTATGCAATAGTCTCTGGACATAAAAATTAAAAGAGTTAACCGATCCATCTGTCGTTATATATGGTACGTATTCTTTCATAAAGCATATTAAGAATTTTTTAAACTTTCATACGCTCCTTACATATTCATATTTTCTCTTGGATGAAATGTCCTCAAACCCACAAAAGAAAATTTGATTTTCAAAAAATATAAAAATGTGAAAATTTTATTTTAAAAAATAAAAAATGATTTAAAAAAAATTAAAAACTCGAATGCCCCATAAAAAACCCAAAATAATTACAAAATTGAAACTAACATATAAAATCTAAAAAAAGAAAAAAACTATGTCCATAAAACCTCATAGTAGAATTTTGTGTGCATAAAATAAGTTTTGCAAAACACAAATTTTTAAATTTGTTTCATTAGTTTCTTATGGTTTTTTTTTGTTATCAATTATTTAGTTTTTTATTTGGGATCTTTCAAGCTTTTATGTTTCTAGATTTTTATTTTTTCTGATTTTCAAAATTTTCTACTTTCTTGGTTTTTCGAACTTTGTTAAGTTTTTTAAAATTAATTTTTATTTTGTATGTCTTAAAAATATATATTTTTTATAGTGTGAGGGATATTTTTATCCAAAAGATAACAAAAAAAAAAAAACGAAATAAAGTATAAATATACAAGGACGTATTAGAATGAAAAGTTAAAATAGCATATGTCAAAAAACCTGTGGAGGGCAGAGCGTCCTGAATCACTAGATCACATGCGGAACTACCCTCCGATCATACAGCCATTTTTCCTCACAAAAAGAAAGGAAACAACCCGAATTACTTTAATCACCGAGAGATTGCCAGTAAATTTGTATTTGCGTGCTCATGGATCCAGTGGTCGGGGTGGACCATTACCAAATCCAACCATCAATCAACCAAACTGACCTTTTATTCTTTTTAAAATTAATAGGTGTTCAGGAGGTTGGCTATACTATTTTGTCACGCATAATATCTTCAGCCTATAACACCAAACATAAAAAAGCAATAAAAAAATATTTGAGACACCGTTGGGATAAAACAATTGTAAAATGACTTGCTCCATTTTTTATTTTGTATTTCAAGTGTTTTATTTTTTAATCAGATTTTTAATGTATCATTTAAAAAACTCACATCATATAAGTGGTTTTAACTTTATATTTATAAGAAATTTTATTCGACACTCCTTGATACTATTAAATATTTTTCAAACGTGTCATAAATCAATAAAAATAAAATATCATTTCGGATACTAGGTGATACTTTCATAATATGAATTCAACTATACAAATAACTTTATAATGGATTATAATTATATGAGAAAAAGAGCACGACTTCGAATATACTTGATAATTTCCAACACGCATGAAAAAAAAATGAAAAAAACAAAAATAAATGACTTTAACATTCTAATTATCATTCTTGTTCTAGGTAGTAACTTTACCATTTTTCTAAATTGATTGGTTATCATTTATCTTTCTTTTTTTTAAGAATAAAAAGTTGTATTTTAATAACTTACAATATGCTATTTTTTAAAAAATTAACATACAGCTATCTATATCATGTTATATCTGTATTTCGTCAATGTATTTATATTTCTTAAATGCAAAAAAACAATCCCTAAGCAATTTTAACTACTAAAATGTCCTTTTTGGAGGAAGAAATTAAAAATAACGATTCATAGTTTAGCAAAACACTTTTTACCAACACGCCAAAAAATAAATAAATAAATAAATTAAAAATTAAACACTAGGTAAGTTATAAATTAGTCCCTTTAGTTTGAAGAAAAAATTAACCAGTCTCTTTTTTTCAAAAACTAATTATTTAATTTTTACATTTTTAAATTTTATTTTAACTCAATCCTTTTTATTATTTTTAAAATTATTTTGATTTTGATTTTAACAAATAAAAAAACATTGAAGAATTGATGAGAAAAAAATTGATATTTTTTGAAATAAAATAAAATAAATTAAGTATAGTCAATACTGATTAAAAAATTAGTTTTTAAAACAACAGAAATCAATTAATTTGTTTCTTCAAAATAGAGGAGCTAATTTATAATTTGCTCTTTAAACACTAAAAATCTCCAAATGATTGAATATCCCTCACTAGGTAGTAGATAGCGCTACAAATTTAAACATGGAAGGCTTTAATTCTCTTCAACCTCGACGGCACCGTTTTCCCAATTTGTCAAAGCAGTAAATCACAACGCACAAAACTCCAACCGTTTTGAATAAAGTCAATCAGAAGCAGTAGGCGTTAGCTCATTAAAAAACCCTTCCATTTCCCTTTCCTTCGATACGAACAAAGCCAAAGCAACTCCTTCCCTCCCTCGTTATTTCCGCCAATTGTATCGGCGATTTCTCCAATCCTCCTTCTCCCTCACTCCCCTTTTAAACACAAACATCTCTCCTTATCGTTATCTCTCACACTCTCTTTGTCTCCAAAAATGGCGCAAGTAGTGGCTACAACCAGATCGATTCACAACTCTATCGTATCATCCCCTTCCTCTGGATCCTTACAGGACCGAGTTGAGAAACTAATCAAACCTTCACCGTTTTCTTCAAAACTACTGTCACGTCATGGAAAGAAGAAAATTGGCAGCATTTCTTCTCCCAGGAACACTCAAATTGCGGCGGCGGCTGTTAATAGATCCGCCGTACCTGAAGTTATTCCTGTCTCACCTGAGGATTCACCAAAGGTCTGCTTTACTTTCTTCATTTTAGCTGACAATTATTATTTACTAGCTTAATTGAGTCTATAACATTGCATGTTGGATGCATACACGCTTGTTACGGAATTTGGAAGTAAGGTTAGGAGAAATGGAGTGAGACACTCTATTCCTTGTGATTTCATTTTTTACTCAATCTCAGTTACGGAAAAGAACGTGAACTTGATTTTTTGTAAATAAAATTATAATAATTCTGTCGTGATAATGTAATATTAAGGTAAGTGCTATTAGCAAATCAAAAGGTCCATTCTTAAGCTCGTTTTTAGTGAAACCACGAATTTTTTTTCAATGAAAACTTTGCTTTAATTAGGTCATAATTTGAAAAAATTAGACCTTTGAAAACAAAGGTCAGTTTTGTCTTTTCACCAAAATTAGTTGCGTGGATTATTTTTTTGTTGTGGGAATAGCAGAATTTAGCGTAGTGCTAAAGCCGGTGTAAGTGATTAACTGTTAATAGTAAATTGGAGTATAATTAAATTTTGTTGATATATTTTTATTTGTTTTTGGTAGACAGAGGAGCAATTTGTGCAATTAGGGAAATTAGGGGACACAACGGCAGCAGTTGGAATGTGGACGAAGCCTACGGTTAGAAGAAAGACGAAGATTGTTTGTACAATTGGACCTTCAACTAACACGAAGGAGATGATATGGAAGCTGGCTGAGGCGGGAATGAATGTTGCTAGAATGAATATGTCTCATGGAGACCATGCTTCTCATCAGAAAGTTATTGATTTGGTTAAAGAGTATAATGCTCAGGCTAAGGATAATGTCATTGCCATCATGCTTGATACTAAGGCAGGTTTACTTTAATTTGATTTCTTTCCTTTTTTTATGTGAAGTACTATATTGAGTTGCTTAAGCTGTCAAGTTTTGCATGAAATGGAATACACTTGATGTTTAGAGGCTCATTTGAAAAAGATAAAATAAAAATCAGACATTATATGGAATGATATTGCAGCTTGATACAAGGCCCTTCTTTTAACTTGTTACATGGTTTGTTTTTTATTTTATTTTAATCAGGGTCCTGAAGTCAGGAGTGGTGACTTGCCTCAGCCTATCATGCTATCACCTGGACAGGAATTCACTTTTACGATTTGTAGGGGTGTTGGAACAGTTGATTGTGTTAGTGTGAACTATGATGATTTTGTCAATGATGTAGAACCAGGCGACATGCTTCTTGTTGATGGTATGCTGACATCGTCTTTTTTTTCCCATTAGTAGAAAATGAAACTGTTGGCAGTGTGCGCAACGGTCAAAACATTATTGCCTGATAGCAGGAACCATAACATGTAGTTTTTCTGATTCATTTTGCTCTACATTGTATTATATTATTTGTGGAAATGTAGTAAGATCGGTTTATTATGTATTTACATAAATAATATTAACATGTATGTACTGGCAACTCTCTCACTCACCCTTAGGTGCACATGAGGCAATGTGGAAGTGAATATGGTTTCATTTGTCTTTTGGTCCCCCTGTTTTGATCCGGTGACTGAAATAGCTGAAGAAAAATGTCATGGGGGATAGCATGAAATCATAATCATGGGAATCTGCTGCTCAAAGATGATAATGGAAAGGGAATATGGGTTTTATTTATAAAACTGATGTGATTCCAACCCCTTCATTTTCTCTAGCTAAAACGTCAGAATTCTTACACCTTAAGAGGGGTTTTTGGTTTTAGTTGAGAAGAAGTATCTATGATCATGGAAACTTCTTTTTGATTTTGGGCTTTGCTATTTCTGATAATCTAGAAGTCTTTAAAACTATAAAAAAGATACAGTCATTAATATAATTGGGATGAGTAGAAATTTTCTTTAGGCAGGCTTGCTTTTACAAATCTAGCAAACTCACGGTCAGCAGCTTGTAAGGTTCTGGAATAGTTTAAAATTATTGCTATCAATTATATGTTTGCTGATTCTTGACCGATGTTGTAGGTGGTATGATGTCTCTTCAGGTGAAGTCCAAAACAGAAGATTCAGTGAAATGTGTAGTTGTTGATGGAGGAGAACTTAAATCTAGGCGTCATCTAAATGTTCGAGGAAAAAGCGCGACACTGCCTTCAATCACTGGTTTGGCCTTGAATTACCATAGACATCATTTACTATTTAATATCCCCCTTTTGTTTTCTTTTTTCCCCCTTTGAGTGGGTGTTGGTTTTGCTAATGGACATGGTTGCTCACATGATTCTTATTGCAGAGAAGGATTGGGATGATATAAAATTTGGAGTGGAGAACAGAGTTGACTTCTATGCTGTTTCTTTCGTTAAAGATGCACAAGTAGTTCATGAATTGAAGAATTATCTACAAAGTAATATTTCTATTAATATTTTCACGAGAAAAAAATTGATTTGCCTGACAATCTAGCTTTGTTAACTCTTAACAATAACTATTTTCCCTTTCTGGCAGGCTGTGGTGCAGATATACATGTGATTGTAAAAATTGAAAGTGCAGATTCCATACCAAATTTACATTCAATAATCACAGCATCTGATGGGGTAATCATTGGAATCCTTACGTCCATCTTCAAGTTGCTGATAATTTATGTACTATTAAGAAGTAGTTAATTGGATTCAGTTATCCCGATTGGTCATAAATTTTACTAAGTAGAACATATCTTTGAACACTGATCTTGAGAATGAAAAAAGTTCTGTTTTATTTTTTTCTTCCCGCTATTGCCACTGACCACTTGGTTTCCTTGGTGACCAGCTGCCATTATATCTTCCTTTTGCACTACAAAATGCTTGTGCTTTGATTTTGTTTTTAATTCGGATGAATCTGACCATCCCTTACCATAGTTGATTTCACAAGGACTGTTTTTAATTCAATGCGGATGCCAACCACCACATGTACTACGGATAATTTACTTACTAATGGATTATATGTTTTTTTTTTTTTTTAATTAGGCCATGGTTGCAAGAGGAGATCTTGGTGCAGAGCTCCCTATTGAGGAGGTTCCCCTTCTGCAGGTAGATTTTGTCTCTGAGATAAGAGTGACGACCAATGAGAAATGACATCATCGTTGGTGGCCACTATATACAATTTGGACTTGGAAATGAGTAGTTTTTATTTCAAAATTGTAGGAAGAGATAATCAGGCTGTGCCGAAGCATGGGGAAAGCTGTTATTGTGGCAACAAATATGCTGGAAAGCATGATTGTTCATCCAACTCCTACCAGAGCAGAGGTTTCAGACATTGCCATTGCTGTTCGCGAGGGTGCTGATGCAGTCATGCTTTCGGGAGAAACTGCACATGGAAAGTAAGTAGGGTTTTGACAGTGTGAATGCTTGATGTATAATTTTGCATTAAAATGGTCTGATGAAGTTTCGTATCCTTGCAGATTCCCGCTGAAAGCTGTTAAAGTTATGCACACAGTCTCTTTACGAACTGAAGCAACCATAGCTGGTGGTGAAATGCCTCCTAATCTTGGTGAAGCATTCAAGGTGTCTAGCATGAGTCTGTTATCCTTTATTGATGGTTTCTCGTATTCAATTTAATTGCCATGGGTACTTAATAGAAATTTCTTATTTTTTTGCAGAACCATACGAGCGAGATGTTTGCATACCACGCAACCATGATGTCAAATACTCTTGGAACCTCAATTGTTGTGTTCACTAGAACTGGCTTCATGTCTATATTACTGAGCCATTATCGACCTACAGGCACTATTTTTGCATTCACGAATGAGTGAGTTCTTCCTGTCCCTAAATTTCATGTGAAAAGAGCAACTTTTTCATGTGAAAAGCATATATTTGTCTAAATTGCAGTTCATGTAATGGTAGAAGATTACTATTAAAAGGTAATTGAATGGAGAGTTTGACTAATTACATTACTCAATGACCATGCAGGAAGAAGATACAACAGAGACTGGCTTTGTATCAAGGAGTGTGTCCCATATACATGCAGTTTTCAGATGATGCTGAAGAAACCTTTGCAAATGCCTTGTCAGTGCTCAAGGTAAGCTCCTATATGAAAATTCTATCATAAAATTGGATTGCAGTACAGTCATGTTTATTGGGTCACTGTTTGATTTGGAGCTAAAGTAATATGAGTTACATTTTTGCTTTGACTTAATCCATTCTGACCTTCAACTTGCAAAAATGGAATACAAGGTATTTCATTACCAAATCATTTCATTTTGGAAACCAGACATCAATAATAGCCAAATGGCTGACCTTAAAGCTTTTCCTGAAAAACAACCAGAGAATAAGCACCTCCCTTCCTTGGTTAAAGGATGATTCTCATAATTAGGAACCATCATATATAACATAGAGACTTATGCTTTCAAAAATTGTGGCTGTGAGATAATAGTTTACCGAAGTCTGCTGCCTTTTTAATTCTTTCATTAAATATTGTCCCAAAATTGTTTTGTCTAGACATTCACTTTGAAACATACAGGCAATCAATCCTTTATCTTCTAGATTCAAACTATTTTGTTTTATCGTATCTGGGTCATTACGTGCTGGCTGCTTGCAAGATGTTTGGAGGATGATATGTTTCTGGGTTTAATCATGCAGAATCAAGGCATGATAAAGGAAGGAGAAGAGGTTGCACTTGTTCAGAGCGGCAGACAACCAATCTGGCGGTTCCAGTCCACTCATAACATTCAGGTCCGTAAAGTATAAACACGAAGAGAGATTGCAAAACTGATTAGTAGACCCACGTTCAAGGAGAATCCCTCGAGTTTTTAGCTCGTGCTTTAGGCCTCTATTGTGTAATTCCAAGGTTTTGATTGGATGCACTTTAAATTCTTTTCTTTTTAAGTTCTTTACGCATTCTCCAGTGTGTCTTGTATGGTGGTTCAAAATTAGTGAGTTGAATGAAAAGCTTTCTATGGTATTGTAGAACATATATTGTACCAAGGCGAAATCAAATTTACTCTTAAATGCAAATAATTTAGGAATTTTGAGTGCTGTGAAACTTTACTAGAATATTGGGGTGCCAAATCAAGAACGATGGATTTGTTGGTACGTGGCAGATAAGAGATGTGATTGAGGCCAGAATAGTTTTACGCATTAGTACCGAAAATAGTTGACCTTGAAAGTCAACGTTGGATTGAGCCTCACAAATTTACAACTAAGGAAGTGTCCACAAAATTAATAATGTGGACATGTATTTATTATCTTAAGACTATCTTAAGTAGGACTAATTCAATGTTTCATACGCTGCTCAGAATGGAGTGGCTGTACCCATTCTGATCATCCCAAAACTTTGACCAAAGCATGACACCTCCATACTTAGGTGACTTCTTTATCACCGGCAGAATTTGAGAAGTCAACACATCTGGTGGGATGTAACCGCTTCCAGCTGCAGCAGGAGCTGCCGGCAACCCTAGAAACATCTTTCCGGCATTTATTGACGTAGTCCATCGGTTCCATGAATTTACGAGGTTAGTAATGTTACCTGAACTGTACTGGCATGGCCGGTTGTTGTAGAATTGAACCCAAACATAGTCAAAAAGACCAGTATTAAGGGCAGTCCCTAAATTTCTATCTGGGAATGGACACTGAGGAGCTGCTGCTAAATACACTTTTCTTCCTTGCTTGCCATATTCAGATAAACAACGAGCAAGATCCTCCCAATATAGAGTCGATCCTTGCTCTATGTCAAAATCAATGCCATCCAAAACAGCATCACCTAGGGGACGAGAAGATGACTTTCCTCCCAAGAAATTGTTCCACAAGTAATCTGCTACATTTCTGGCATCACCTTTAGAGGCTAGAGTATAGTTTCCAATGCCACCACCAAGAGAAAGCAGCACCTTAATTCCTTGCTGCTGACAACTTTTGATGTCGCTGCTGACAGTTCTACAACCACCGCTTGCGGGGTTGCAATGACCGGCAAGGTTCATTTCTGGGGTTTGACCATTGCCAAACTTGTTGAGGAAAGCTATGTTGACATAAGCATATCTTCCTGTGGCACATGTTTGTGCTAGAGTTCCTTCATTGCCGTTCTGACCCCAGTAGATGGAAATTCCACCCGCAGCATGAGAGGATTTAACCAGCAAAAGGACTAGGAGAGGAAGGAGAAGAAATGTGGCTTGATCAATTCTGGCCATTTTTGCAACTACCCAAAAGGTATGACTTATTTCTTGTGCCTCTATAAGGGGCAAGGGATTGCCAATTATATAGAGTCCTGGAGGGGCTTCCACTAGGAAAATTTGACCCAAGCACGTTATCCATTTATTTGGCTAGCTGTATGATTAAATTGGTGAGAGGTCGCCAAGCCGAGTTGGTTGACTTCATGCAAGGAGATTCGTTTCCAGAAGCCAAATATTTTCACTTCGAAGTATTAACAAATTGTTTTCCTAATTTTTTTCTTAACAAAGAAAGTTTATCTCCCTTGTTTATCCCTTCGTGTAAATTATAACCTAATTCTATATTTTTTAAAAGACTATATGAATTAATTCTCTATGTTAAAACAAAAAACACTCCATTTTTAATTTTTACCACACACATAGATACCAACTTGAGTTACGAGTGATTTATTACATATATACACATTAACTTTCAGGCAATTACTAATCATAAAAGATACATGCAAAATGCAATACATTTATAATATTCATTATTCAACATACTTACATATTTTTTTCCTTTTTAATCGAGAGCATTGTGTTGTCATTTTTAATTTTTAGTTGAAAAGTGATATATATATATATATATGAAGGTAAAAGATGGCCAAGTGATTAATTTGTGATTTTTAAAATTATTTTTTAAAAAAATAGTGACTAACTTGTAATTTTGACAGATAATACATAAAAAAAGAATGATCGTACTTCCATGGAATTAATTAAGGCAGAATGAATAAAAATACTAAAAAAAAAAAATCTTTTTCAAGTTTTACATAGAAAATATAATTTGATCCGTACAAAACAGCAGGCAAATGGGCAACTTATTGGCCGAGTCAAAGAGCATTTAGGTGTTAGTTGGATAAGTTTGGGAACACAAAGAGAGGGTTTCATTTGCTAGCTTAGTTGGCCAATCAAATCCCAGTAGCGTGCTAATTCTTTAATTCTCACTGCTTTTGGGCTTATGGCCTATGGGTCAGCTTATTTTTTTTCTTTACTTAAATATTCTGGGTCAACCTCTAGTTAGTTAGTATGTAGATTGCTTCATAAATTAATTAATATTCCTAATAATAATTTATTTCCCTAAGCCTGAGGAATGTTTGCCTAATTAAGTTGAAACTGAAAATGAAACTAATTAATTATTCATGAAGAACGAACCCTATTCATAAAAAAAATATATATATATATATATATATATATATATATATATATATATATATATATATATACTTTTACCCGGCCCATTATGTTATTACCCATAATCCAGCCTATAACTGCTAAAAACCACTTTTCTGTTTTCTTACTCAACCCATACCCACTATATTATTACCCGGCCCACATCCATTTACCCGGTTTCTTATCGTAGTTGGAGCTGAGCTTTTGCATCAAGTAAACTCTCCATTTATAATTGCAGCAATATTGTCGAAATTATGCGAAGAATAGCCAAAAACATTCAGAAAGCAAATCAAAAGTTTTATTAGTTGTCGGCTGGAATGTGAAAAATGTAGGTTTTGAGAAAAAAGTCAAATTATTCAGAAATCAAATATTGATGGAGAATGAAATTCATAATTATGATTTTTTTTCTTTTTTAGTTTCATAGTCATTTGATCCAACACATTATATACGCTAAACTAAAAAATTATTTACCATGTGAAGAGTATTTTTTTTCGTTAAATACAACTATAATTTCTCTCTCAAACAATACAAAACAATTTTAGAAAGCTACCTCTCTCTTTTATATTTACACAATATATTAAAAATATTGATTTAACTATTACAATGATCTCATTGGTACGCTTTAGACACCATTAACATGGATAATTATGCTCTATAATCGTAGGATTCAGGAGCATTTTATCTTTTTTTTCTTCAATTTTTCAAGAATGCTAAATATTATGTAAAACCTATCTATATGTCAAAATCATGTGCATCATTAAAAGTGATTTTTTATTTAAATTTAGTATTCATTTTAAGCTTTTGCTTTTTTATACTTGAGATAGTATTGATGGAAATGTTCAGGGATAAATTATAAATTAGTCCTACTTTTCGAGAAAAGAATTAATTAGTCTTTATAATTTTAAAAAATAATTATTTAATTTTTTTAATCAGTGTTGATTATAGCCAATTTAATATATATATATAATATTTTTTTTTTTGTCAATCTTTCCATATTTTTACTTATATTTCATTCCTTTTTTATTTTGAAAAATAATAAAAAGAACTAAAAAATTAGTTCTTGCGAGACTAATTAATTTTTTCTCGAAGTGAGAGGGACTAATTTATAACTTACTCAAATGTTCAGTTAGTTGATTGTGGTGCTTTACCTGCTTGATTCTGCAGCATCGCTAGCGTTTTCAACTATCGACGAGACATAGCAAAGAAATGGGCTTTATAAATTAGAGGAGTAGGAAGTTGGGCTTCTAGGCAATGTTTTGGGCAACCGGGTTATACACAGTCCAAGGCCTTAATACCAGAGAAACATTGATTTTTTTTTAAAAAAAGTTAATTAATGGATATTTATACAGGAAATCTATTAATAATTAGATTTTAAACTCTATCTTTTACTTAATAATTTTATGGAATAAGTATCAAGTTTTTTTTTCAAAATTAGAAAAAAAAAAAACAATAAGGGAATATTCTTGATTCATCTACATATGTCAAGAATCTTATTTAAATTTCTACACATCAACTCACTAAAAAAGAGCTTGCTTTTCGTGTGGCAAAGTTTTCAAATGCATTAACCACAATGTGGTAGACTAATGGTGAGTAAGTGTTAATTTATAGATTAAGTTTAAGATTTAATTCTTGTGGTCAGCACTTCGTAAATTTATTTTCGGTATACTCGAAATTATAAGTTGGAGATTACCCCTTAGAGCATCTCTAATGCTCTTTTTATATTAAAATTTTTCTTTATAATAAAGAGGTTTGATTCAAATTTCATCTCCAATGCTCTCTTTATCACAATCTCTATATCTAAAATTGATATAGAGAGCGTCTTTGGCTCTCCAATACTAGAGAGTCCAAATGACTCTTTATCTTATATTTCATTAATGAAAATTACTATTTTCTATACTACTTAACCTCTTCACCAATAGTCTCTATGGGTTTTATAGATTTTATCAAAATAAAAAAGTTAAGTAGAGAGTCGTATTAGAGATGATATTGATGTTTAATCTATATAATTAATGATGCTCTCTATTTACATTAAAAATGCTAGCTAAAAGTAGAAGCATCATTGAAGATGCTCTTAGCTACGACCAGAGAAGAGTTAGACTTAAGGTATATGAAACGTGATCCAAAGACATACTTGTTGAAAAAAAAATTTCCATGTGCAGGCATGCAGGACTGAAAATTAAAAAATAAAAAGGAAGGTAAAGTTGTTGATTCCTTCCTAACAAGTAGCTACTTCTTCCTTTCGAATAAATAAAAAACAATACATTAATTAATTAATTAATTAATTATTGAGCTGCCTTGATTACTAACATTGTTGGTAGCTAGCTACCTACTACAAAAATCTCAAATGCCACTCCCCATTTTCCTTTCCTCCCTTAGTACAATACGTACAAGATTTATGCATACACATTCATTTTTTTATGAACCATGTAATCTTCTCACTGAGCTTTCTCTTCTTTTTCTAGACATTGCTTGAGCAAACCAGTACTTGAAGAACATCTAAGGTAAATTGTTTCTTTATCCTTCATTTTCTTATTATGGTTTTTCCATTTTTTTTTCTTTTCTCTTACATGTAGCTATTATATGTTGTTTGATTCTTTCAAGTGAATTAAAGACAAAGTTGTAGAAATTTATTGAGAAAATTTTAGAATTAGGATCATCAATAGTTTCAGAACCAAGTAAATTACATTGATCAAATAATATGATCCATTAAACCTTTTGAGAACTGGGTTGGATTTATTTACTCTAATAATGATAGAGGCAACCTTATGCAACCTGGATTTTTGGATATCAAGTTGCTGGTGGTCCTCTTGATTTTATTGGATGTTAATTCTCGAGAAACAAAGAAAAAAAATGCTATGTAGAAAATTAGCAAATGGTTAGGAAAAGTTCCAATATTTAAAGGAATTTTGTATAAATGAGAGGGATCAGTTAATATTCCTACCAACTTGTAATATATATAAACAATACATAATTATTGAGCTGCCTTTACGCATGTTATGTTAGCTCCTATGACAATCTTTTCCACTTCTCTATAGAAAATATGAAAAACACTTTTGGTTTGTAAATTGTTATAAAAAAAAAAAATCGAACCGAAATTATTTTGGTTTTTGAATTTGGTTCGATTTATTTAAAAAAATTGGTTAAACCGAAAAACTATTTTTCTTTTATTATAATTAGTTTTTTTGCCTATGTTACGTTGCGAGTTAGATAAAATATATAAAATTATTTAGAGAAATCATTTCAATTTGATAATTTGTTTTATGGTATAAATCTATAAAAACATATGAAATCAAAGGTGAAAAAATTATTTATAATTTATAATTAAAATTTTTGTATTTAACTTTTTTTTTTTCATAATTTTTCTTTTAGAAAAAGGATTTATCATTGTTAATCCATGGATTATTAACTAAAAAAAATTAAATAATTTTTTTTAAAAAAAGCTTTATTATTTCATAAAATTGTGTCAAAAAACATAAATAACAACTATTAAAAGCTTACATAAAATTGAACAAATAATTTTTTTAATTTAATTTTGATGAGAATATCAGTTTTTGAAAAAATATGAATTTAATTTTTATATATTTATTTACAAAATAATGAATAATATTAAAATAAAAAATTACATTAATTTGACTTCCAACTATTAATTAATTAATTTGAGTTTTTTTTTAAAATCGAGAAAAAATTATTTGAAATACACTTTTAATCAAAAAATATTTTTTAGACAAATTATATATATTAATCATGCCACTATAATTTAAAAGTTATCTAAATCTATTTTTCAAAAAAAAAAAATCATGTTCTAAAAATTT